CTCCACCTGCCAAACTTACATTCTTTTGTTCTTTCATTCATTCTTTCTTTCATTTGTCCTTTCTTTCTTTCCTTCCATTATTTCAGGTTCTCACCCTCGCCTCCTCTTTCTGCATTACTCCTCAGGCAACCCTTCTTAGAACGATTACTAACCTGAACGTTAGTCCAGATTTGCTCTTCAGGTTCCTCAGAAGCTCCAGCTGATTCAAAGGAGGAATGAGTCTATATTGGAAGGAGCAGAAATCAGAGGAGAGGAAGTCATATTCAAACATCATGAGAAAGACAAAGCGCTGCCACTCCCAACATGGCGCGAGACCTTGCAAATATTAAACCTTGCAAATGCAGGGCTGAGAATGGTCACTTGTTCAGGCAGCTTCTAGAAACCCTCTCAAGGAGCAGCCATAAGGAAGGAAAAATCTGGAGCTGGGGGGGGCAGTTACATTCCTGTACATTCATTTTCAAATTCTTAAAGAAGCAACTGCTTTATTTTTAAAATGCAATTATTTTTAAAATGCCCGGCAGTATAGCCATTGATGCATCACAAGGCTAAACACAAAATCTTGTCACCTCTACTCCCAGTTTTTATAAGTGTTCTGTTTACATTACCATCGCCCCAAAGACATCATCTCTTCCTTGGAGTTCAAGGCTGAGAACAAAGATATCTAAATGACCATCTTTAGTGCAAAACGAATGCCATAAAAACTGAAAGCAATGGGGGGGGGAGTGCAACTGTTTCAACTGGAGAACCTCAGAGCGTGGAAACCACTTTTTTTGGACAGCAAGTCCCAGGATTCCATTCTGCAGTCCAAAAAAGTAACCTTTCTGTCCTCTGGAGAATACAGCATTAAGGTGCTAGGGTAGAAACCCACAAACAAGTCTTCAAAGTCTGTGACACTCCTAGAAGATCAGTGCTCTCAAGCCAGACGTGGCTTCCATCGTTTAGCTGCCCTTTCCCCGTCATCGCTCTAGGATGCTTCCTGCCCCAAAAGTGGACATCCTGGGCTCTCTAGACCAGTGGTCCCCAACCTTGGGCCTCCAGATGTTCTTGGACTACCAGAGGCCTTCACCACCACCTCTACTGGCCAGGATTTCTAGGCGTTGAAGTCCAAGAACATCTGGAGGCCCAGGGTTGGGGACCACTGGTTTAGAGGCCTTGCCTAGCACCGGCTGCTAAGCAACATAGTAGGCTGAGTCTCTTGATCACTATTCTGCCTCTTTATTTTAGGGCCAGCGTTTGCTCTCTAGGTTCAAGGAGACCTCTCCCCCCCCCCACTCTTTTTCTGTGCATATCCTGGATCAGATTCACAACAAAATGGATTCTACAAAATAATATTGAAGGCAAAAGGGAGTAGGGGTAGCAGAAATGCTGATTCCTCTGTATGAATTTAATTCCAAGAATAAAATGCGGAATTTCGTGAATCGAATGGAATTTAGTGAAACTGGCCATTGACCTGTTTCCAATCATGGTAGATAAATAGAAATGATGTTTAAAAACCAAAATGATTTAAATCACGGCTTAAATCACAATTTAAATTTAATTTTTTTAAATTTACACTGTCAAATCTATTTTTTTTTAATTTAAATTGTGATTTAAACCAGCTTGCTTTAAATCAAATCCCCCTGATTTCCATCCAAAGCTACCTGACTATTAAAGGACAGGAGGCACAAGGTGTGGGGTGTCTCCCAAACATAGCATTTGTTATTCATCTTATTGCTATTTTATCTTTTCTGTACTGCATCCTACAAGCCTTTGTCTACTACCGCTAACAAATGCTAGCAAAAGGGCTAAATGTGCACATGGTATTTAATCTAGTAGATATACATCGTTTTAGACCTGAAATAAATTCCAAGGTTAGAGGAGATTCCCCAAGGTTGCGTTTACATGTCAAACCCCCGCCCCCACATTCAGTATGCCTACTAATAATTTTGTGCGTTCATTGAGTGAAACTGAAAGGGATTAAAATTGTCCAGTTTAACATTGCCACAGAATTCAACAGGAAAACTTACAAAATTGATTTCACTGCACCCTTCAAAGAGAAACTGTGAGAACTGAGAACTGCCAAAGAATTTTCTATGGCTAATTTAGTTTACATAGTTATATCTGAGTGATTGAACTATCTGACATGACCATATTCTTTCTATTTTCAGAAACAGAAAAAAGCACGCTTCATTTGAAGAGTTAAGCACAAGGATTTATACAATCACCAAAATAAAAACAGTGTGCATGCGGCCCAGCGCAACTGAATATCAGAATCCCTGCTATGGTTCATTAGCTTTATTATGCACATTACTCACAGCGATCAAACAATTTTGTTAATTAGAACCATCTGCTGTTCTTACTATAGCAGTATAAAATATACTACCGCCAATTGCTTAAGTGCCCATAGCAAAAGAAACATGGGTGACCAATTACCGGGAAGCACACGTATTAAGGCGAGGTCAGTATAGCTGGATCATGCCTCAAAGCGATCAGTTACAAAACCATACACAAAAAACACAATATGGGCTGTATGAAATACATACACATTCTCACAAAATGCACAAGTGCACACACCACAAAGGGTTAATTTTGTTCATCATATAAAGCAGTTCCAAGGTGAGGGGGGGGGAGAGGATAACAAGTAGGGGTGAGGAGGGGGAAGCAACCTCAGGGAAGTTGGTCTGGGAAAAGAAATTGAAAGTGAAGATATGGTTGTTACAGCTGGATGCAAATATTTTGAAGTCCAGAATTAAAAAAGAAGCTGCTTCATATTCTATATGTTACATTATGTGGGGCTACCACAGCTAGTTAGTTACCCCTTTAAAAGTAGGGGGGAGAACAATAAGAAGTAAGGATCAGGGCTGCTTGTTGCAGATGCAAGCAGCCAAAATCATCCATTGATCCTGAACTCTTGAGACACAAGTTACAACCTTATCTAAGGTGGGTTGTATTAGTGAAGTTGCTGATATGGTTTGAAGACAAAAGGAGAAAGAGTGAAGACAGATGTAACATTCTGCAGTGCCAGCTGCCAATCATGCCTACTGGTCAGTACCCGTGATGTCACGAACACCGTTCCCCTTGCCACCTAACCTGAAACAGTTTTACAAATTTAAAACATAGTTATGACTTTTTTTAACAAGGTGAAGTAGCGACTAATTGAATAAAGATGCATCTGTTACTTAAAGGGAGAGGGGGGAGCAACCTATCTGATCCAGAGTACCACGTAAGAGTAACAATACCGAGTTCATCTTGTGCAACATCAATCTGTTATGCCCTTTGAAAAAGCAAGATTTACATTTTGGGTGAACAGCCTACTGTATTCTGCAAATATTACATCTGTCTTCATTCAAAGAGAATCAGAAGATAAAAAGTGAACAGAGAGAGTACGAGTGAGGGGGAGGCATCAGAGAGGGGGAGAAAGGGAAAAAGAAATTTCTAGATGGACAGAAAATAAGATTGGGTCGGATGCTGGATGGATACCCCATGGATAGAAGGGCTTTGCTTACAAAAGATGCCTCAACCTGCTTTGAGGGAGACCTCTTCCAGCTTAAACATACGGCAATGATTCCTTACAGCAATGTAACATTTGCAGAGGGATGTATATAAGTTGTCATCGGCTGGAGTCAGGTCCACTTCTACCCCAGGGCTAAAGCTGGATCCAACCCACTGTCTTAGGTGGTTTCAGAAAAGAAGACTCATAGCCCACTAATTAATTTATTATCAACTTATGACTAGCATAGGCTGTTACTGTAGGCATATGCAATATTTGGCTTGCAATAAAATACCTATGCAGCTTCCATTTCTAAATAGTCTCCCGAATTTTCTAAAACTGAATAGTTTTGCATATTCAGTATAAATCTAAGGTAAAGGTTCCCCTTGACATTTAGTCCATTCGGGTCCGCCTCTAGGGCGCGGTGCTCACCCCCGTCTCCAAGCCGTAGAGCCAGCGTTTGTCCATAGACAGTTTCCGTGGTCATGTGGCCAGCGCGACTAGACACAGGACGCTGTTACCTTCCCACCGAGGTGGTCCCTATTTATCTACTTGCATTTACATGCTTTCGAACTGCTAGGTTGGCAGGAGCTGGGACAAGTGACAGGAGCTCCATCTATCACCTGGATTTGATCTTACAACTGCTGGTCTTCTGACCTTGCAGCACAGAGGCTTCTGTGGTTTAACCCACAGCGCCACCATGTCTCTATCTAGTATAAACCTAGATAGCCACTAAAACCTGAATTTTCACCTAGTTTATGACCCAAACCCTGTTGGATTAGTAGATTAAATCACACTAAACTAGGCCCAGTGAATCAATGGGGATTTGATAAGTCCTACTGATTCAAACAAGCCCGCTCTAACTGCAACGTACGTTGGTGTTAGTAAAAAAAAAAAAAGGGGAATGTGCAGAGAGGAGAAGGGTTCAGCAGCAGAGCTATACAAAAGCCATCGACAATAAAAATATAAAACACATTAAAAAGGACCAATACAAAGCGCTGTGCTAAATTTTAAAGGAATTTGGTTGCTCTGCTAGCTGTAAGCTGCACTTACTCATTCCTAATTGAGCACAGAAAGAAGCCATAGGCCAGGCTGGTTGGAAAAACCCAATAATCTTTTATATTTTCCTGAAAGCCAGTCACCAATAGTAGCTATATTAATTCACGATTTTCAAATACAGGAAACATACACAATTCAACTTTGGATATTCACAAGTTTTCTTCTTAATTTAAAAGAACTCTTCTTAACTCAATCATCACCCTTTTTTGTATATGCAAATGAACGAAGTGTATAGCGATATTTGGGTGTCTGGCTATGTGGCTTTGTTACTGTATTTTTGCAGAAGGCTTTTCTCTTGCGTTTCTCCCACCTCAGAAAAAAAAAATAAAACTTAGCATGTGTCATTCCGTAAGGGGAAAAAGAAAAGGGGTGGGGGGGACAACAACAACCGAAGAGCACCACAACACACCGAAAAGTCAGTTCACATGCACTTCATACCTGGACGCACCATACGTTTGCGTTTGCGAGCTTTTAGTTTCAAGTGTTTTCAAAAAAGAAAAGAGGGAGAGAGAAAAAGGAAAAGATGGGGTAAGAAAAAAAAGTAGGGAGCAGGAATTAGAAAGGAAAAAAAAACAGAACCAAATTAAAAGAAGGTGGGAAAGAAAGAAAGAAAAACGAACAATATTAGCATATGTGCTAACTGTATTACATTGAACACTTAAATGCTGAAAAAGGTTCAGCAGGAAGTTGGCCTCCAAGGCCTGGATTTGGCACAAAGACAATATCTATATTTCAGTAATTTTGGTACAAAAAGGTGCACGTATTTTAAGTAAATAAATAAATCAGTAAAAACTAGCTTCCGTGTTCTCCTCTAAAACCTGATCTCTTGGATAATCGATTCTTATTTTTATGAATCAGCCTATGGTTAAGAACATCAAGCAAATTACTTGCTCCGAATACAGAAGAGCCAAGGGGAGTTTCAGATCGAGATGCGAAAACCCCTGGAAGAAAATAACTGTGAACAGCTTGAGAGCACAACATGGCTAGGCAAAAATGGACAGCCAACCTCCATCGGATCACCTCAAAAGACTGCTTGCCAATCAGTGGAAATCCATTAGTCCATTGACCGAATTTGACAAGCAAATTTGACAAACTGACAAGCAAATTTGCTTCATCTTCTTCCACTATTTGGGGACAGGGGTGTTTCAGAAGGAACCTGTTCTAGTGCATTTAGACCCCACTCGTGGCAAGACAGTCGTGCCCATGAGGAATTATCACACTGAATACCACTACTTCCCAATTTACTATTACACCACAGCTGACCATGTGTGCATTGATAATCCTAGACCAATTTTGTGAATGGCTAGAAATAAGGACAATCTTTTAATGGAATGGTACACATTCATTCAGCCACATATTAGTTACGGTAGGATGTCTGCACAGCAGAGTTCCAGCGGGGCCCAGCAAGGCACATCATCACAGCGTTAGGGGCACTTTGCCTGTCCCTTCCGGAGAGAGATGGGCAAGGGGGCACATCTATGAGTTTCCTGGCTGAGGGAAAAGCTAGGAGCCATTATAAGGTAGTCACACACCCCCACCAGCAACCAGCCCTCTCTTTTCCAACGAATAGCCCACCTGCCCACCCTATGGGTCCAATGTAAATATAGGTTGTCGCCTCAGGGCCAGATAAGAATTTTGGACTCATCTCACCTGATTCACACCTTGAATAAAAGGTGTGCAGGAATTTTTTTTTGCCTATTCCACACTGATTACCCCAAAGGCATATATATAGGGTGATCAAGAGTGGAACTGTGTTAAATAACTCACACTGGTGGGCAGTGCAGACGCGGAAGTGAATATCAGTGAGTTCCTAAGGAGTAGACAGGACGGCCTGCATCATGGCAGATGCCCACCAGTGTGATGCCCATATTCTGCCCATATTCTGCTTCCAGGTTTGAGGGTATATTGGGGGGGGGGCTGGTTCTAGCCGCTGCCTGCCTAAGGTCACAATGAACAAATCAGCATGTTGACTAGAGCTCAGAAAAAAATATTTTTTACATAAGAATTTCTAGAATCTCCCCACCAGCGCTGCTAACATCACTTCAGACACCGAGAACAACCAAAAAACGACCCAGTTAGGGAAATGCTAGGAAGAAAAACCTCAAGAACACGGCCAGACAGCCTGAAAAACCCACAACAACCATTGGATCCCGGCCGTGAAAGCCTTCGAGAATACCAGTTAGAGTAACTTAGAGGCATAGTCTTACCTACAAAGACCTTCTTAGGTTGCCACCACCATCACCCCAAGAAAGTAACGGTGAAACCCAGTTCACGTGTACAGTGGTGCCTCACTTGACGAGGATAATCCGTTCCAGCAAAAGCTCTGTTAAGCAATATCCTCGTCAAGCAAAATAAAAAATCCAATTGAAATGCATTGAAAACCCATTCAATGTGTTCCAATGGGCTAAATAACTCACCGTCCAGCGAAGATCCTCCATAGGGTGGCCATTTTCAGCTCCATCTTGCAAAAAAGCCTTCATAAACACAGAGGGGAGCCATTTTGTACACCCAGCTGCCATTTTGAAACCAGATGATCAGCTGTTTTGATCATCATAATGCGAAGAATTGGTTCCCGAAGCAGGGAACCGATCATCGCAAAGCGAAAAAAAACCATTCATACATCGTTTTGCGATCGCAAAAGCGAGCGCAAAAACTTCATCGTTAAGCGATTTCCTCGTCTAACGAGGTAAGCGTCAAGCGGGGCACCACTGTATTTATACTATTGTGTTTATAACCTTTGCATTGATTTCACTCTGCTGACTTCGAGGAGGAAATCCAAGGGACCACAGTGCAGAGAAAAAAACTGTCATTTCCTCTTATGGATTCCTAGCCCACACATGTATTAAGAGAGGAATGACCAATGGCAGGACAATCGAAATATACATATATATTTTCCTGCCGTAGCAACTGCCTTCAAGAGAAGTAAGACTGATGAACAAGCTCTGTGTAGGAGAAGGCTTAGACCTTCAAGTTACTTTCCCTCCCCTCAACAGACCGAGACAGGGCAGAAGCTCCCCATTTTACAGTCATTTAGGATCAGAGTAATACTATCAGATTATCTAGTATAGACTCTTCTCTTATGATGGAAATAAGACAGCAAGCCCCCTGGCACAGTGGTTAAGCTGCAAGACTGCAGTCAAGCTTCTGCTTGCAATCTGAGTTAGATCCTGACAGGTTCACCTCACTGGCTCAAGGTTGACTCAGCCTTCCATCCTTCCAAGGTCAGTAAAATGACTACTCATCTCACTGGGGGATGAAGTGCTCCTCGCACTCTCTCTCTATAGATCAAAACAACAAATATATAATATCTAAATTTGCAGTATATAAATCAAAACAAGAAAGAAAGAAAGAAAGAAAGAAAGAAAGAAAGAAAGAAAGAAAGAAAGAAAGAAAGAAAGAAAGAAAGAAAGAAAGAAAGAAAGAAAGAAAGAAAGAAAGAAAGAAAGAAAGAAAGAAAGCCCACTGACCACTCTGGAAACAGGCAGTAAAGTACGTGCCGTCTCTGACTGTCTTCCAGAAGTTATCCATCTATCTGGAACTATAGAAAACTTTATAGTTATTCTCTGGACATGCAAGAAAACACATGCATTTCCCCCTACTACCAAAAAAGGGGTTTTCACACATTTGTACGTAGCTTAAATGTGTGAATGGTCTGAAGGTTGATGACAGAACAGGGTGGCATGAATGCTGTAGTCCTACAAGCAATAAAGGCTTCAACCAGAATCAGTAAGAAGGGACCAAACCTAATTGCAAATCATACACCCAAAATTATAGAACTGAATATACTTACAATCTAGGAGACAAACTTTAATTAATTTGCTGGGAACAAAAAAAATTACTGCATATCGCAAACATGACTCAAAGCAAGAGCAGCAGTAATGAATTTAAACCAATACCTCTCAACTTCACATATCCTCAATAAGATTTCAGTCAAACAAACACTGCTTTCAACATTCAAATTCTTCTGTTCTCCACTCTTGACTCTCACTGGGATGATCTGACCTATTTTCTGTTAAGACATCATTTGACATGCACATATATAAAACAACCGAACTACTTTGCATCAATGTTTCATCACAACAGGTTTTATTATGCATACTGTCATGCTAGACTGTGGAGCTCATCATGTACCACAAGGTTTAGGTGATATTAATCATGATCAACAAAAGCATCACATGGAATAAAGTACAGTGGTGCCTCGCTTGACGACGTTAATCCGTTCCAGCGAAATCACTGTAGAGCGAAATTGTCATCAAGCGAAATAAAAAAGCCAATTGAAATGCACTGAAAACCGTTCAATGCATTCCAATGTGTGAAATACCTGCTTGTCCAGCGAAGATCCTCCATAGAGCGGCCATTTTCTGCTCCCTGTATAGCGAAAAATCTGTCCTAAAAACAGCAGGGAGCCATTTTGCACAGCGGGCAGCCATTTTGGAAATCCGACGATCAGCTGTTTTGATTGTGGTAAAGCGGAAAATCGGTTCCTGAAGCAGGGGACCGATCAT